TTACAATAATATTTTATTTTTCTGCTATGTTAAAAATTAACTTAAAGTTCCATATATTTTATTAATGCCTCATTTCATTATATTATATCAAGCATTGATTTTTTAATTTATATTTATATTTTTTACTCGATGTCAAAAAATATATTAATAATATTTGTATTTTTTTTTTCATGAGAAAAAATATTATCTAGCTAACCCGCATCAAAGCATGTCAATTAGATACATTAACGCTTTTTTTTATATTTATAATTAAATATATATATAAACTTTATAATTTATGATTATGATTTCTTTAGTCAAAAAACTAGTTGAAAAAACTTATATCTTTTGTCTTCTTTTTTTTTTAGGAAAAAATAATGATCTAACCCGTAGAGAAATGTAAGTTAAATAACTAGTGTTTTTACTTAGTGTTATATTTTTTTAATTTAATAACAAGGAGAATTTTTTTCTTAGTTTATACAACAATTAAAAATGTTTGTGAATTATAATGATGATTTGGTAAAGATTGTTTTGACAAAATCACTTGAAGAGAAGAAACTGAAGATAAACCAAAAAGGAATCTTATTGGGATTGACATGATGATGTACAAAAGACAGACAAAAATAACTATAACGAATTATTAAAAATAAAATAAAATAAAATGAGATAACCTTTTTTCTATGCAATACAATAAAAAGAGAAAGCTTGTGTTGAGAAAAAACATACCAATTACAGGTAAATAAATTAAATCCATAACGGTACCTCTTTGTTTTTTGCCACTACAAATGTAAGTTTGTGGCCAATGGTGTGTCCTATTTTGATTATCAGATTCTTATTTAGAAAAATGTTAATGGTTAAATTCAATGTGAAAAATAAGTTTTCATGAACCAAATCTTCTTTAAAAAGAAAAAAAGAAAAATTTTAGTTTTTAAAACTTGAACTTGATTTTTTAAGACTATGTATTTACCACTTTATGATTTCTTTTGTCTGTTCATGTGTAGTTCATATATATATTGTGATCCCATTAATGATCCACTAATTGAAGTGATCATTCAACGACTCATCAGCTTTATCTATGAATTTCCGGATTGGTTTTAAAAACGTTGCTAAAAATCTCTCTCTTTATCCACTCAAATATACGATTTACATGTCAAAGTCTATACCTTGAATGGAAAATCTTAACGAAAGCACTGATTAAAGACTAGATCAGAAACTTACCCCACTAATACCTAGAAGTAAAAGAAAATTACAGAAGAAGTCAACGTGTTAATAGCATATCCTTCAATCCAAGTTCCATAGTTGTCTCGAAGAAGTCCTCCCGTTCCAGCAGGCAGCACCTGGATTACCTTTGCTGCAACCATCTACATTTAATTCAACCCACTGAATTGGGGGCGCTTGCTTCTTGACCACTAAATTTAAGACAGACTCATTGCTAAAATGGATGCAAGCAGCAGGGTTTTTGATGGCATTTAACGGAGTGGGATGTAAACTGGCATCTCCTCCAAAAACTCCTTTACTTCACCATTTCCATAAGAACCAAGTCACAACCCCAAACATAATTAGCCATGGAATAGAAACAGTAGATGAGAGATTACTTATTAGCCATGGGATAAAACCTGTAGAGGACAAAGCTTCTCTGTCACTCGGTTTAATAATAACATTCCATGCATTCTGTGCAAGTGGACAGTCCCTCAAAACATGAAGAACAGCTTCCATCTCAAATGGGCAATGTTGACAATAAATATGGATCCTCAGCATAACGTCTATGCACTCTACTCTCATTTGTTATTTGATGGGGGAGGGTAGCTAGCCATTATCGTCAGCACCTGCATCTGCATGGGTAATAAATGAGCAAAGAATTCCGGCTTCCATTGATTACTAGAATCTTCAAAGTCAGCCATAGAGCAATCTGTCAAATCCTCTTAAATCACTTGCACTGCAGTAACTGTCCAAATCCATCCAAAACCGCATTTCTGACCCATTGCCTGTAGACTACCAAACTCCATCAACTACTTTAGGCCAAAATTTTACAGTTTGCTTTTCATAGTGGAGAGTCTTTGCCTTTAGCCTATACTTGAGGGATCCCATATGAAATCCATACAAATTCTCTCAATATCTTAATAGACTGGTTTTGGGATAAGCGAAGCTTGCATAGGATACAACGATACCGTTGCTAGTTCTTACTCACGCAAGGTTATTCTCCTTGCTAGTGATAAATTATTAGACTTCCAACTTGTCAGCTCCCGCTACATGTTCTCAATGATAGAAGAATAAGCATGCTTATTAATTCTTCGATGCAAGTGGGGGACTCCCAAATATTTTTCAAGGTCATCCGTTTTAGCAAAACCACTTTTATGACGAATGGCTCGTTCTAACATGGATGAGACATTCTTGGATAAATAAATCTGTCTTTGCAATACTCACCTTCTGTCCAGAAGAGTCACTGAACTTAAAACAATGCAACAACCATCTGTACTTCACTAGCTTTAGTAAAAAACATGTCATCTGCGAAGCATAAATGGTAGATGTTTGGACCCATGTTGCTGAATTTTTATCTTCAAATGAAATCCATTGGCATCTAGACTTTTGGAACCCAAAGATCTCCTCTCGGGAAAGAATATGATTAATTATAATTCTCTGTAAGATGTCGTTCTAGCTTATACAGGTACTGATTACCTCCATTAGACAAGACTCTTTGTATTCCTCCAAGTTGAGCTAACAATGATTACCTCCATTAGACAAGATTGTGTGTATTCCTCCAAGTTGAGCTAACACTGATTACCTCCATTAGACAAGACTCTTTGTATTCCTCCAAGTTGAGCTAACACCTTTTGTTTACGTACAAAGACGTTACCAAAAACTCTTATGTTCAATTCCTTTCACTTAACTGTCATCATGTTTAGTGAAGATGTCAAACCTCGATCATTTTGCCAATTTTCTCTTAAGAACTCTGCAAAATTTTCTTAAGTGGCCCATGCTACTTCAAACCGAAAAGGTCCACTGGGAATTTGCATCCTCTTGTCTGTGCTATTCAACTCTACAAGAATTGGGTGGTGGTCTGACTTAACTCGAGGCAGTACTTTAACATAAGCTTCAGAAAACTTCAGTCTCCAAGCATGATTACCAAATCCTCTGTCCAGACGTTCATAAACTCTCCTATACACTGTCAAGATCAATTAATCCAGAATTTTGTACCTATTTACCCAAACGAAGAAATTTCCTCACATTAGCAGGTGCCCCCCGCCACCCCCCCTACTTTCTCTGAAATCAAAATAATTTCATTGAGATCCCCTATCATTAACCAGAGGGAAGCTATAGAGTTGGCTAACAACCCTATCTCCTCAAAACACTCCTTCAACTAATTTTTGGATTCACATAAACATCAGTACATATCCATGATGAACCTCTGCCATCACCCATTAAAGTATGTATAAAATAGCGAGAGGATTGTAGGACCCTTAGGTCGGTCAACTTCCCCCGACAAAAGCCATAAACCACCAGAATTTCCTTGAGCTTCCACCCTAAAACTACTAGTAAAACTAGGCTTTTCTATAAACTTATCAGCAACAATGCCACTAACCTTGGTTGATGGTTAAGCTATTGCCAAAACATCAATGTTGTATAATCTTATGTAATAGGTATTGCCAAAACATCAATTTTGTATAATCTTACGTGATCCTGCATCATAGAGCAGAATTAAAATTTGACCGTAGTTCACTCCGGTGAAACTTTTCAAATCATAAAACTTTGATTCCTTTTTTTAAAAAATAAAATTTTTATGAGCCACCTAGTGATTTAGAGATAAAGTCTCGACCCAGTCATGACATAAAAAAAAATCAATTTTAAAGTTAATAGGTTCCACGGGGAGTTTATCTAGATGTTATTTGACCATGAGTTTTGCTAGACGATAGATATGAGCTTGGGTTTTCAATGGATTTTTGGGTTGTTTGAGTTCAGGAGTTTATCAAAATATTTAGGATGAATTATAGGTGTTTTTAGTAGAATTAAGTTGAAAAATAGGTTTTCAAATTAAAAAACCATCAACTTCAATTTTCCAACACCCACGGTGATCAGAAGATGAAGAAAAGTCCATGACATGTTGCATGCTTTATTTTTATTTTTTTCAAACAATTATGGGGAAGATGACATTCAGCCCGTTCTATTTTCAAATTAAAAAAATAAAGGCTATGAATGCGGGCACTTTAAAAAATAGGTATGGGTTACGCAAGCAATCCTGGCTTCTAGACCCAATAACGTTTAATCTTTTTTTTTTTTAATTTTATGTTTTAATATGAATTTTTTTAAAATAATAAATTAATATAACTTCTCTTTTATTTTTTAGACTATTTATTTAGCAATTTTTTTAAAAGAAAAATTAGGTGCACAAGCCATTCATGCCAGACCCGCACTCTTGGATCTTTTGTTTTAGTCCAATTAGTTTATAAAAAAATATGATTTAATTTTTATTTAGCTTATAAATATGCTTTTAATTTTTCTTTTTTAAATCTTAGGAGGCATTTTTTTTTGTGCTGCCTTATTTAAAAAAATCTTTAATTTTATTAAATAATTTTTATGCTTTTTTTAATTGTTGTTTCATTAAATAAAACATTTGTTTCAATAAACAATATTATTAAATACAATCAAATTTTTAACTTATTTTTTAAAATTAATTATCTACATCCATATTTTTTAAAAAATTTTATTATTTGTTTAAATATTACTTGGCTTTTACTTTATTTTCACATAAAATAAAAAAATTCTAACATATACAACATTACATAATATTTTTTTTAAATGAAATGAATTGATTTCATTGACATATCTATTTCTATTATTATTTAATTAAATAAAAAATATATTTAGATAAATAAATAACCTATATTACAAAATCAAATATTTTAATTTACATCTATTTATTAATTTTTCCTAATTCATCTTTAATTATTGTTAACAGCTTTTTTTTCAATAAAGATCATTATTCATTAATCTAATTAAATGCATGTAGCATATAATATTAGGAATACAATCAATGTGTTGTTTTTTCTTTTTTCCTATTTTTCTTGAAGAACAAACAATACATGGCAACGCAAGAAAAAAAGGTGATGATTCAAATCACAAAAGGATATTCCTTTTCTTCAATGATAAATTCTGCTTGCTTGCACCAGTAACTGGTATGCTCCTTGTATCCCACGAGTTCAAATACAAGAGCTCGTCCGTAACCCACAGAGATAAGGAAAATCATTTTCAGCACCCTAACAAATGACAGCAAAATCACATAGCGATAGGCTCGTCTTATCCCGCTACGCTATAAGCGTCAAAACCTCCCCGTGAGTTACTGCTCTATACCAAGGTCGCCCCATCTGACTTTGTATCTTGCTGCAAGATAGTGAGCCCCAACAGGGCCCCGACTACCGTAAGGATAATATTCGGGGATGATCTTCTTCTCTTCAAGCTCCTTAAGAACAGGAGTGAAGAGTGCCCAAGCTGCATCCAGTTCATCACTCCTGATAAACAATCTCCTTTCGCCTTCAATTGCATCCAGCAGAAGCCTCTCGTATGCATCTGGAATCTCTTTTGAATATCTACAATGGGCACACCAGGTTGATCAGCAATCAAGGCAATTGTGTTAAATAGACCTTGTTGTATATAAATAAGTCTTTTCATGTATATGATTCAAATAGTTTTAAATTTTACCTTGCCGCGTAGTGAAGATGTAGATTGCTACGGTCCAATCTCATTCCCAATCCAGGAACCTTGTTATTGATCTTCAGATAGATAGCTTCATCTGGTTGCACTCGAATAACAAGCTCGTTTGTAGCCCGATCAAGATCCGTTCCAAAATTCCGGTTGTATAAGTTGCCAGGCACATGCCTGAACTGTACCCTTATCTCGGCACTGACAAAAAAAGTAAATTGCATATATTATATAACCTATTACTCGGTCCTGAGAGAACAGGTTAGTTGCATGCATCTAACAACCTGTTACAGGTTGTCAACAGTGTAGTATGTAATGCTCACCTCTTATTATGTAATGCTTTGCCAGCTTTCATTAGAAAAGGCACTCCATCCCATCTTGCATTATCAATGAAGAGAGCAGCTGCAGCAAATGTTGGAGTTAAGCTGCCTTTTGGCACAGTGTTGTCATCAGTGTATGCTGGGTAAGTAACTCCTCCTTTTATGTGACTCTTGTACTGCCCAACAACAACATCTTCCAGTTGTAAAGGCCTCATCGATCGTAAAACTTTGACCTGCAATCAGTAAGCAATAATATTTAATTAAGAATAAAGAAAACAAATAACTTACTAAAATCCCACATTCATGCAAGTAACAATAACCTTTTCGTTTCTGATGTCTTCTGCATCCAAACTGACAGGTGTTTCCATTGCAAAGAGGGCTAGTATTTGAAGCAGATGGTTCTGCATTATATCTCTTATTATTCCATAATTGTCAAAGTACCTAATTTAAACCAATTCAAAAATTTTAGCCATAAGCTGTTAAATAGAATGTAGAACTGTAAACTGTATTCTCATCTCAGAATGCAAAGTACCCTCCACGTCCTTCAGTGCCAAAATCTTCAGAGAATATCAACTGTACATTTCTGATATACTGCCTTGACCACAAGGGTTCGAAAATGAGATTAGAGAAACGCAGAACAGACAGGTTTTCCACAAGCTCCTTTCCCAGATAGTGGTCTATCCTGAAACAAAAAGGAATATCCATCTGATCAGATCGTGCTCCAATTTCCTCGATAAAAGCTGATTAAGTTCAGAAATCTTCTACCTGAATATTTGATCTTCATCAAGGTATTGCTTGAGAGCTTTTGTCAAAGCAGCCGAGGAATCTGAATCTCGGCCAAAGGGTTTCTCAACAATGACCCTGGTCCAGCCAATACTAGATGAAGCTGATGAGCTTGTACATTTCACCGCATCTATAAATATATTTGGAGGAATTGAAAGATAAAAGAGGCGATTAGAAACTCTCCCACCCTGCACATGCAAATTTCATTATCAAACATAATCAGATTATATAAATGCTCAAGTAGTAGAACCTTTCATAGAAAATTGTAAGGAATCCCCATTCTAGATATCTTAATCATATAGAAAAAACAAGGCATTCTATGATATTCTAACCAGCAGATAAAATAGTAATCGTATCTCATTTGCTGCGTAGTTCACCACCACTGAAAATAGTACAGAACAATGATAATTACAATTTAAAAGTGAAATCATGAAAATGATAATGAAGAATGGTGCTAAATCCTTGCAATATGAACATGCCACCAATTTGCATGAACAATTGCCACATCCATAGTTAAAGTGACTGGTTGTCCAAATCATATGACCCATACATTAATGACCAAATACTTCACTCATGCACTGCAATACTGCATGTGATTCCTGAACACATCTCCCCAACAATTATACCCATAATACACCGAAACCTCTTTCAATCAGCCTGGAAATGGTAAATGGGAACACCAACATAGTGATCCAAGAATATGCTATGTGATAGTGCACTTAGCACAAGCAAAGGTGCACAAAATCTGGGTATTGGCATAAAAATATTTTAAGTACAAAACCTCCCTGCCACCCATACAGCCCAGTTTATGCACCTTACTAGGAATGTCTACAGATAACAATAAGGCATAATGTCCAATTAACTCATAGTCAAAAGTGATATTCTTATCAACAAAACCCTCACTTTGATCCACAAACCACAAATGGAAATAAGAATTTTGTTAAATGTTCATTTTACATATCAAGCACCAATAAGTTATCCACTACTAATAGAGATATTCCATTCTGTCACAATGCTAGCCCAGATCCCCATTACCTCATGTTCTTTCAGCTTCTTGTCTAACTCAGCAAAGTTTTCCTGAGAACCATATTGACCAGAATGGTAGAAACATCTCTTAAGAAATTGGTCCATCTTTTCATCACAGTTCTCCCTGAAAATCCAGAAGCAGCAATACATATCACGTCCCAACCTCCAAATAAATCACAGGCATTTATAACATGTAAGCTTCGTGTCATGGCCAAAAAAGGAAAGGACTAAAATCACCTCTTATCAATTCTGCATGTAAGGGTCCTGCTAACCATGTTTCTAAGTTCAGCATCAGTCATCTTGCTCCGAGCATAACCAAAGATAGTAAAATGCTGCAACCAAATAACTTCACAACTTAAAATATGAATATGATCATAAACTGAAGAAGAAGACATTAAAAACAGTCAATCATTGAAATCAAGCTTTCAAGTGTAGACGGATAACAGAAAAATCCAAAATTGAACCTCCGGGAGACAACCCTCATAATAAAGAGCAAAAAGTGCAGGAAATATCTTTTTCTTTGCAAGGTCACCAGATGCTCCAACCACAGTGATACTGACAGTCGACTCTTCTTCATTTACATCAAAACTAGCTGCTTCTTTAATTTCCTCAGTTGATGGAACTGAAGACAACAACCCATCTTTCAATTTCTTAAAAGGAGTCTCATTTTCAACTGGGGTCACTGGAGTGGTCACTGCACCTACAATCAGTTACCATTCAAATAAGAACAAACAAGAGAGCATAGGTATTCATTTTTCAAAAAAAAAAACTTACCAAGTAATATATCAAAAAATGACTTGCGAAAATATTAAAAGCTGAAAACTTTTCTCTGGCTTCTATATTGTTTTTCAGTTTCTAAAAGAAAAAAGAAAAAGAAAAAACAGAACTTATCACAACTGAAGCTATACAGATCAAAGGGCATCTTTTGGATTTTCAAGCAATAAAACAGAAGACAAACCAAACATTCGGCAATCAAAAAGCACAAAAAGGTACAAGTAGACAATTTAACCAATCATTTTTGACAATATACAAATAAATCAGCTAAACAATTCATACAACAAATGAAAAAAACATCATCTTTTACAGAAAAAAAAAAGGAAAGAATAGCGAACAAAAAAACTAAAAGGACTAACCATCTTGCATGAGAACCACATTTAAATGAAAATTTCTTCGAGAATGAAAAGAGACCTTAGCAGGTAAAACCCTTTTAGCAATACAAGAAGAGAAGTTTAGTCGTTGATGATGATTCTGCCCGTTAATTGATAGTGAAGAAGAAGAAGAAGAAGATGATGGTGTTAGAGAATATGAAATGGAACGACATGTCGTCGAAGAAAGGGCAGCCATGTTTTTAGAAAGATAACAGTTTCTCAGCTTTCTGTTTTAAAAGAGTCAGTATGTTTTGGAGGAATCAAAGAGATGGGTTTTGAAGGAGGTGGTGATGGTGATGACGGGGGCCTAAAAACAAACCTCGGAAACGTCGAGGGGTAAGGGGCAAGGGCGTAAGGCCCTTGAGATCTCCGAAAGGCTGCTCTTTTGTCTTCGCCAAACAACACCTGTCTTGTTTTTTTTTTTTTTTTGTAGAGAGAGATAGACGGAGAAGAAAATTAAATTAATTACTTCTCCAAAAGCATAGGGATTTTAGATATATAGAGAGATGAAGCCAGTGTTTTATAATTAAAGTTATCGAATTTATTTTTTTAATATAATATGAAAAATATAATGTAAATTTTAATTTTAAAATTATAAATTATAAGTAAATATTTTTAATTAATTATATATTAATAATTTTATTGAAAAAATTAAATTACATTAAAATTTGATTAAAAAATCTATAATATTATAATATGATTAATAATATAGATAGTAGGAAGTATATAAAAACCCGGTGATAATTTGATTTTTTAATCACAATAAATTTTTAATCAATAAAACTTCAAGTTAAAAAAAATCTAAATTTCAAAAGGAAGAATATAATTTGACCTTTAAAAATTAAAGATTTTTTTCACTTTTTAAAACACTTCTTGTATTTAGTTTGATGCTTATCTATGTGATATGAATTGTAATATAATTATATATTTTTTAATAAATATGTGGCAAATATTAAAAAGTTTTTTAAATAAATGTGAGGAAAATATAAAAAATATAGAACCATAAGAATTTCATGCCATCTTTTGACATAAGTTTTCTTTAACAGGAGGAGTTTCTCGAAAGAAAAAAATAATTTAATCTAATGATGTCAAATATAAAATAAGACTATAGCTAAATATCCCTTTTAAAAAATATACTAATATCCAATTTCATAATTTTTTAAATTTTAATGTAACTTATTATTTTAGAATTATAATTATATGTCGAGTGATAAAAAAAATAAAAAAATAGGCAAGATAGAAATGGTATAAATTGTTTTGTTTAAATGATTTTTTTTTGAAATATTTGTAGTTATTGTAAAAAAAAATTTGAAATATTTGTAGTTATTGTAAAAAAATAAAAATAAAAATTATGATTCTTTTAAATTTTTATAACTATTGAGTCAAAGATAATACCAAGAGTTAAATTTAGTAAATGATCTTTATATGTTGAAACCTAACAAAATATATTGTTAACTAAGCTTATCACAAGGCCACATCACATAGTAGTTTAAGCCTCCCAAGGGTGTATTGGAAAGAAAAGGATTTTAAATTTAATCATAAAATTATAATTATAAGATTTAGGAGTTACCATCTAATATTAAAGTTACTAGAAAACCTATATTTTGTGAGAGTCTAAGTAAATAACTGGTTATGTAAAGAAAAGACGCATCACTTTTAGTGCACTATCTAAGGTAAGTTATATTGTTATATGATTGTTTTTCTATATCATGTTTTTATCTATTGGTTTGTTTTAAAGTATAAGGTAAATCTTTTTTCATGAGAGAATATTTATTTTATTACGTAAAATCTTAATCATTCTAAAGTTCAAATTCAAGAATCTTCTTGAATTTATTTGTTGGTCCATCGCATGTTTTTTCCCGATGACTTTACTTAGTATTTGGTTGTAAATTTATATTGTAAAAATATGAATATGATATAAATATATATGTCTTTTCTTTTTCTTTGAAAAAAAAAAGAAGGCTCTTTTAATGAAAAAAAATATTTTTCTTTCAATTCAAATTTTACTTATTTATGCACTGACACTAAAGTTAGGAATATTAGTATTCACTAATGTCAAATTGAAAGTACTCTCAATATTCATTAAAGTTAGAACTGGGAATATTGAAACTAGGGTTGAGAATCATTGTGAACCCCTCAATATTTATTGATGTCAATGTCAAGGATATATTACTCTTTTTTTCTTAAGTAATATTTGCAAACTCAAAAGTTGAAAGTATTTATAGTTAGATATTTAAGAATATTATAGTCATACCATCAAAAATATAATACAATAAATCCTTAGTAAAATTTAAGACAAAAACCAATAATGCAACTTACCTCGAGTAGGATACTTAAATGGTGATAGTATCTTTACTTTTACATAATCAGTCTTATATAATAAAATCTTTATTGACTAGTTATGATTCTTAATGATCATAATACTAGGAAACCAAATATTTTTTCCCTTTAAGAATAAGATGCCAAATATTTTTTTTTCTAGAAACATAAAGGTCGTTACAATATCGGGTGCAACAATTTCAAACTAAGATTATAATTATAAACAATCCAGCTTATATAACATTCTAAGATATATACTCCACAATTAAATTTAAAACATATTAAAATTTAAATGAATTATACTACGGGTAGTTCTTACTTCATAACAAAAATCATTCAAGAATAAATTATAAGAAATAATATAATTTTTGTTAACCTTTTCCATTTTTTCCCTTGAACTCCCAATTCCATCATTTTCTAAGCTTAAAACCCTTTTCTAAACTTTGCAAATCTTCTCTTAATTCATCAAAACTCCATTTGATTCACTAATCTAACATGAAATTATATTTTTTCTCTCATAAACTAATAAAAAAATAAAAGAACCCTAACCTCTCTTTTTTTCCCTTCATATCTTCAACCATTGGCCAATAAACAACCATATTTATAGTCTCACATTTATGTTATTTGCAAAAATTCTCTCATGTTGAGCTTTTGTATTTTATTTTTCATTTAACTAGATATTTCATCTTGGTTCACTTTGAAAGTCTTTAAGTAAATTTTTATTCCATAAGCCTTTTTTATAATTATTCAATATTATTTTATTTTAATTTTTGATTAACCTACTTTATTATCAAGTTAATTTAATTTAATTTAATTAATTTTTTTATCACCAAAAAAAATTGTTCAAGGGTTTACAAAGCTAGTTGGTTTCTTTGATTACTAATTATATGAATGAGACATAAGGATAAAGAAAAATAAAGAGATTATTGTCAAGGTTATAAATTGAAGCATGAAAAAACAACACCCTCCCTTAAAAGCTAACAACACACTCATTTAAAGACCTTTTAGGGTAAGGCAAGTCACCTTGCAGATATTAAAAGAAAGAAAAAAGGAAAGCTAAGAGAATATCACACTAGGCATAATTTGTTTCATGCTTGTTTATAAATTAGAAAAGTTATATGAATGCATATAAAATTTACAATATTAAACCAATTATAGTAAAGATTCGTGCTTGTTGAACTCTAATAACTATCTAAATATTGTTATAAATGAAAGTCTAACATTTGAAATTTTAAATTCTCTCTCTCTTTCATTGTTATAAATGAAAGTCTAACATTTGAAATTTTAAATTTTCTCTCTCTTTCTATGTGTGTGTGTCTATATATATATATATATATAAAGGAGTATTAAGGGTAAAGTAGAGTATTCGTGCCTAATTGAAACTCAATATTTTATCTTTGAGTTTTACATAAACCAAACCCAAACTATGCATAAAGTTTTTTATCTATTCAATTTGGTTTGAGTCAATATCCAATAAGTTTAGATGAAATTGTCACCATTAACCATAGCTCTTCATGTCACTATCTCAATTAACCATAACTTTATTCAACGTAGTTCATGTCAAGTTTAAACATTGTATAAATACCAACTAAAATATATAAAAATAATATAAGAAAGATAACAATAATAAACAACATAAAACTCTACCAAACAGGGACACTACATCAAAGCCTCTAATTCAAAACTTTATTTATCAATAATTCATCAAATAATCTTATTTTTAACAAGTTTACAACTTCTTAAACAAACCCACAAAAAACCTCAATAAACTAAAACAATCTAATAAAAATAAAAATAAAAATAAAAATAAAAATCCTAATTTTTAAGCATAATATCTAACTTTATAAAATATATAGGAAAAAATAAAAATAACTAAGGAAAAATAATCCTCCTTATAAACCTTCTACATTAGTTTACCCAAGTTTAGAAGAACTCATCCTCGAGTTTAAATCACTTGTGTCTCAATCTTAAGAATAAATTCAAGACTCCTCAACCTATTTCTTTTTTTTTTTATGTACAATAATTTTAGCTATCAACTTCAATTCTTTCATGTTAGATTTTACATAAAAAATCAATTGACAAGTAATACATCTTGCACTGGCTTTTAGAGTAATGAATTACAAAACTCATACTTCCTTTATCAGTGTTATATCTATAGAAACCTTAAATATATATATATATTTTTATAATAGTAACTTTATAATCAAGTAGATTAACATAGCTTAAATTATTATTATTTTTATTGAATACTTTCACGTTATATGTGCACTTAACCTCTAACTTATTAATGAGGATACCATTGATGACATTATCACTTTCATTATTGTCATTATTTATGGTATCTTTATTGAAATTATCATCATCAAAATAAACATCATAAATTGATGGAGAATAGCAATCCATATCTATTTCATTATAAATGGAATAATCAAAATCTTCATAATATTTATCCCAATCAAGAAGTTGCCTTCTCTACTCATGCTTTTGAAATGGGTTCTCATGATTGGTCATGAATCCAAGATTACTTTCCTCATGATCCTCTTTTTTTTTTCTTCATATTTGTTAATCAACATGATAATTCATCATCTTAACTTTATAATTTTATCAATTAACTGACAAGTAAATTTTACAATTTATCTTTACATGTGCTATATCATTAGTTCTTGAACATCCTGAACATCCATTCTCAAGGGAGAAACATCTCATCCCCTCCTTTATGAGCACATTTTATTATACGAATACATATTCCATTCATGATTATTCAACAAATAACCATGAGGAATCGTTGAGTTATAATACCAACTAACATAAATGAAAAACAGCGCAAGAAAAATATCAATAATAAACAACTTAAAATTCTAAAGAATAGGGTCACCATATCAAAACACCTTATTCAAAATCTTATTTCTTAATAATTCATCATCAAGTAGTCTCATGTTTATGAGGTTTATAAAACCTTAAATAAGTTTCAAAACAACCTAAAAAAATAAAAATAAATAAAAGTCCTGGAAAACTAGAACAAAGTAAAAGTATTAAGTATAATATTTAATTTCTAAGCTAAATAGAAAAAAGGTAAAAAATAACTAGAAAATATATTAAAAAAAATCTCATACATCACATTGCT